TACAAATATATGATTCACTCTCGCAAGGTCTTTTATATTTGTCTTATTTTTTATACATTCTGCAGCTATGTGTCCAAATAAATTACAACGAAAGCATTTTTTCCCTTGCTCTTATTTTTGCAAAAATTCTCCGCGTGACCAAGATTTCCGCAGTTATAGCAACGAATATTTGTTTTTATTTTGCTTTCAAAATGGTCGCTTCTGGTTTTAGAATTAGGCTTAACGGATTTATTTTTATCATTATCTAATTTAATTTTTTCATATATCTTAAGTTTTTCCTGATATTCTGCCAAAGTTTTACAACCATAAAGAATAGCTTTATTAAATGTAGAATCGTTTATACCATTAATAACATATTTAAATAAAGCAGCGTTTTCAATATTTCCTTTGGAACATAGATTTTTAATTACCAAAAAATATTCATATAGAGATTCTTTTTCCTACATTTTACGTTTCGATATTAATTCATGTAACTGTGCAGAGTTATACTGAACACCATATTCATTTATTAATAAAGCCTTAAGTGTATTCCCCGAATTAATTTTCGTTTCACTTTCAATAAATAATTTTGCTTTACCAGTTAAAGATCGTTTGGCGAATATCAGTTTCTGTAATTAATTTAGTTTGAACAAATTAGATACATGCTCAAAGTTTTCAATAAATTTGTCAACCGAATTATACGGATTACCATCAAATTTAGAAATCAAGCTTTCAATATCATTAAAATTTATATACATATTTGAAAACTGTGAAAACGGAAATTGAACTGACGACATACTAATATCTTGTTTTATCTCATGATCTTCATCAACAGCAGCAAAAGAAGAATCGTTGAAATTTCGAGCAGTTGGTGCATCGATTTCACTATTAACAGAAATATTCCTTCTGTCATCCAACATTGCTTCATATTCCTCTATTTGTTGTTTGTAATTTGATCCCTATTCTGACACCAATTTTGTGGGTTCTTTAGTTTTGAAATCACAATTCGTATTCAAACAAATAATACATCTATAAGATCTATAATACATCTATAAGATCGTGGCTCGGTGAGCTACGTTTTTATTTCTATATGCTGATAAATTGTGCATATTTTGTGTTAAAAGTGATTGGATTATGCTATTCTTATGTTCCAGTTAAGGTGTTGGTTTGGGCTAGGCCTAACGAGGCCGTTATTTGTTAACATTTGGAACTCTTAATAGTAAAGAGAATTAAATCAATTGATTCACCAACTTCACTGTCTTTTTGCCCAATTGGACCAAAAGTTAACTTTAAACTTTTGCGCATTGGCAGAATTGCTGGTGTTTCCCGCAGAAATTCTAATTTTAATTGGAAGAAAAAAGTTTTAAACTGTTTTTAGCTGTATTTGGTGTTTTAGGTTTTTTTTTATTTTATTTTATTTTACCATTTTTAAATGAAGGTGTATAGAGGTTTGTGTGTATTTTTGTCTTGCCGCGAAGTGAAAACTGAATTAATAAGAAATATATCTCAATGAAATTAAAGGAAATAAGTTTGAATGAAGTGTCGCACGAAATGTGTATAATTTAATAATCCGTACCAAGAAGTCATATAGTGTTCACATCAGATTTTTGTTTACAATGAAACAGATGGTGACTTCACAAATTAATTAATTAAAAACAGCAAATAATTTTAAACTAATTCAGAAGTCAAACAACAATTTTTTGTTGTTGTTGGTGTTTGACTTCTGAATTTGTATTTGTTCGGCGTGTTATTGTGTCTTAATTTTAAACTATTCATTTATATTAAAGTTGATCTTTGATAACATGTAGTGTGAGTAATATATTTCCCTTGCTCACATGCAGAACTTTTGTGAAAATTGTGACAATCAGTTGGAGCAATTAAGGCTGCCCTTGAAGTAAAATAGGTACAAAGGAGGAACTAAGTCTTAATAGTGTACTGAAATGAAATCGCATTCATCTAACGATCAATAATTCTAGTTTATTGCTTAATTCTAGCAGGTGTGGAGACGTGAAAAATGAGTACTAAGTTTGATTTTCAACAGAAATTTTCTTTCTAGCTTTTTCATTTAGATAATTGCTTTAAATTTTGGCTTTATTCTTCGTTTGTGAATGTTTTTATGGTAAATATCTCTGCAGTAAACATTCTTTTTTTAAACCTGAGCTCCGTTTCAAGCAAGAGATATTTTTTTATTCTAAGAAAAATGAAGTATCTTCACTTTTTAATATTTAGAAGCTTTCTTTTTTTTATGTATTTTGAACTATGCAACCCAAAGAGAAAAGAAACTATTAAATATATAGAAACTCGTAAAAGCTTCTTGGTAACTTTAGTGTGCCAGAGTGATTTTTGTTCGGTAGGAAATTAATTCCTTTTAAGATATGAAGCCCAAAACTGAGAGATTACATTTCTTTGAGTCATATTTTTTCTGAATGTTTATTTTGTTCTTTTACTCCTTTTTAGACTATTACTAGATCCATTTACTCTCAGTATTACTTTTAAGATAAATAAAATAATTTTAAGATATAGCACTCAGAACCAATTATATCTCCAACAAAAACAAAGTGAAGAGCTACTCTTATTGTTTTTCAACAATTTTAGGCTTCTACTATGAAATGAAATGTCGTTTCTTAATCTTTTGTCATTTGCTTTCGAAGATTTATTGAACATTCTATTATGAAAAGGAACATAATAAAAATTGTGAGCGAACAGAATTCAGACATGGATATTAAGTTAAATTTGAAGATACATGCATCATATTAGAAAGCGTTATATTTGTATGTCTCAAAATTAGTTTGTTTGATTAGTTACCGCAGAATGCTCGAGAATTTATTTCTAAGATGTACGAAATAGTTTCTTAAATTATTTATAATTAACTCATTTTTTCGTAACATATATTGGAAAAACAACGGAAAACTCACCTAACCACCAGACACAATCTGCTGATTTCCATTGACGTTTGCCCTTTAAATACTGGTGGTTGATAGAGCTCAAGAAAATAGTTTGTAAGAGTTAACATGCGAAGTGAATAATGTTCGAAATATCGTGCCAAGATACGTAGTTGATTGATTCCTGTGCTATTAAATTTATTAAAATTAAATGGGTTTGAAACGTAACAAAATAATTTTATTAATTCTTAAAAAAGTAGAGAGGTTTTGAAAGTTAGATTAATTAAATAAAGGAGCTTAGGTGTGTTTCATTAGACAGAAATTTTTTTCGGACTTTCTTGCTTCGGAGAAAAGATATCTCATAACTTTTATAAAATATGGAGGTACATAGTTACTGGAGAGAATATTCATAAATTCTATTTATAACTTGCGCGTATTATATGTGTTCAAGGCAATGGGGAATAAGACTGGCTTATTTGATAGATTCTAGAAGATTAAGACCGGTATTACCATGCAATTAAAGCGTATGACGTCAGAAAAGGTTATTGATTTCTAGAATACTTATCGAAGAATTCGATATTAGACTTAACTATTAAATGGCCGAAATTATGTGTAAAGGGGAAAAGCTGATTAGTAGCTTACCAAAAAGTAATATTTAGGCGAAGGAAGAAAAGCAGTGGCTATGTTTAAGAAAAGAATTATCAATAAAATTTCATAATCTTTATTTCTTTTAATAATTTACCTTCTGCATTTATACCGGTGACGTTTAAGAGTGCGATTTATCAATTAAACATATTTTAGCCATCTGCAGTTCCTGTAACAGACTTTTTAAGACTAAGGGCGAAAACATAATTTTTCATGAAGAATAATTATTCGTAATACAACTTCAAATCTCATAATATAGACTTAAATTTTAAATTATATTACGAAAATACTAGCTTATATTTGCCTTAAAATATTATTAGAAATCCTTATAATAAATATAGACTTATATTTATCTCTTTCTTTCATTCAATCTATATTATTATCAGCATAACTATCTGAAAATAATTATTTTTATTTTTTTCTACATTGGGGGTCGTTAAAGAGATAAAAATTAAAGAACAGTTGAGAGAAATGGTTAAAACATTTATTTTAAACTAAGAATACGAGTATAAATTAAACTCAGTGGCGCAACAGCCCTAATGGTCTACGGCATGCAGTGCCCTTTTTCTGCTTTCTTGACATTTGGGCCCCGGAGTGCATCAGCATATGCCCTAGACAAGTGGTCAGCTTGTCACAGAACCTCCAGTGTTTAGTCCCCAAGCGAACTTGGTACTCATTTTATTGGCCCACTTAAGGGATGAAAGGCTGAGTCAACCTTGCCCAGCCCTGGGATCGAACCCCGGAAGTGTAATGCAGCTGAACGACCACTTAAGGATACGACTATGAGTATTTAAAAGATGAAGATATGAAAAATTACGCTGAAACAAACAAAGTGATAAAAGATAAATAAATAAGTAAGAGTTAAATAAAGCAGAGTAACTTCGAAAATTAATCTTTAATTTACGCAGATAAATTTTAATCCTTTTTAAGTGCATAATTTCTAGCTTCATAATTTTCATGCACCTTTAATAAATGCATATAGGTTTAATCATAAAGAAGTTACATACATAACTTTATAAAATAAAAAATTTTAATTCATTAACCTTCGAATAAAACTATTTGATCCTATCTGAAATAATTCTGATTTAATTAGATTCGGAGAAATAGCTTGTGATTTTCTCTAGGAAATGTAATCTTATTAAAATAGGACTTCAAAAAACAAACAAAAAAAAATTTAAAACATTTAAAATTTCATTCAGTGTCAGTTTATATGGCGCAGCAAACACATTTTTCACGTTCTCTGAAAATGCATTTATTTAATCACTTTTGACAGACATTTCTTTGAGTTCTTAAAAGAAACAACTTATTAATTATATATGTATACCATAAAATGTACATAGTTTTAAGTACTTTTATTTGAAGTTTATGTCAACTCACTTAAGCCGACTGAATTAATTAAAATTTGGATTTCCTAAGACACGTCAAAGAGACGACTGTGACAAAAAACAAAGCGAAAACATCATTAAAGTTTGTATTAATTACCCAATATCTTCGCCAGTATGTCGGATAAATTATGACTCGGACTTGCAAACAATTGTCAGCCCTGATAGATAGCAGTGTCAGTTCTTTTTCTCGGTCGAATATTTTCTTTTGAACTGTCAACTTCAGAACAAAGGACCTGTAATAAAAGAATACGACAATGTTGACAAGTTGAAAGAATGGACGGAATTAAATAAAAGTAGGAAAGTTAAAGATAAAATAAAAAAACAAACGGAGGGAAGACGAAATAATAGGTTTTCTAAGACATCGGGAGGTTCCACGAATTTCTTTCCTCTTTCCGGAAAATGCTTTTCCCGAATAGCAAATGCTTACAAAAGCTTTGAGGGCACAAAACAGACAATTGTTAAGAATGGAATTACGGATAAAAGTTCAGAAGCAAGGAGATTATTAATGGTAACTGACTGTCAATCTCTCAAAGAATATATTCAAAAGTCAACATAGGCTTTTTGCATTCGTTTCAAACGAAAAAACTGTGTTTTTCTCCAGATAAGTAGCATGGTCTTGCTCCTTTAGGAAAAGCCACACCTCTGGCCGAGCAGTAAAAGACTGCCGAATACTAGTCTTTCGTCCTAGGTTCAAACCCAAACGAGCGGGCTAGTTGCAAAGTTGGTTTTTGCGTTCCCCCCCCCACACACATGTAGCGTAAATACGAAATATGAGGCAGTTTTCCTTAAAAAAATCTTCCTCGAAGTCATCTCTCCCTGAGGTAGACAGCCCTCGTGTGCTTTGCCATATTTAATTAACCATCTCCAGAGAAATATATTCTGTGCAATAGCGTTAATTTAATAGCGCGTCATCTATAATCATAAACAGAGGAAAATTGAAAAGACAGAGACGATACTGGTAAAAAATACTAAGAGAAAATTTACATTTAAAATATTTGACAGTTTTTACTCAGCGTGTTGCAGGCATCAATATAGTATAAAAGCAATTTCACTAAGTGATTTTCTTATATAATAAATGTATTAGTTTAAATATATAAGTGTGTTTTCTGAATAATAATCTGGCAAAATTTGCAATTATTTTAAAACCTTGATTGGATAATTTTACTAGAGCCTGCGCAATGTTTTTGGACTTACCTTATATGTTTCTACATTTCAAGGTCGGTTAAGGAAAAAAAACTTCAGTTTTGTCAAAATTTATCCTAGGAAATCAACTAATAATAATACATTTTCTATCAACTATTATTCACGTACGTTAACTAATATCAATTACAGAACTATAAAGTTTTATAAAAAAATTAATTTAATTAAATGCATACTATCAGTTTTTAGGCAGTGATATTTAATCCGAAAAATTCTCAGATCTCCTATAATTAAAAATTATATTACTTACAATAAGAGAACTGATTTAAAATTTATATATTTTCTAGGAAACTGATTTTAGGAACTGATTTAAAATTTATGTATTTTCTAGGAATATTTTCTAGGAAAGCTGTTAATTAATGTTTAAAAATACCTTTTTAAATAAAATTAAATTCCGTAGAATTCTTATTGTCATCAAAAATAAAGTATTTTCATTACTCTGTTAAGTTTAAGTAAGTAATTTGACTTGACACTTGGAGCATGCAGAGAAAAGAAATATTCGCTTACTGTAAAACGAATAACTTCGCAATTTAACGAACTTTTAAAATTTTGCTAATTAAATTTTGACTTAATATATGTAGAAATATATGTAGTTTAGTCTTTCCGCCATTATCGTAATATGTTACCTTACGCAATCAAGGCATTTATCATCCAATTAGAGTCTATAACTGTGCCAATCCATGAGGCAAATTATCAGTCATTCACGAACTTGACATTCACGGCTTGATAAATGCGCTACTGGCTATCCAAAATGCACGACAAGAGATATCTGAGCCATTTTTATTTCAGAGATTACACATACTATCAATGCTGATTGATTTTGGCTGAAATACAGCTTTCTTTGAGGTAAGGAAGGCGAGAAAATCAATAATGAGTGTTTCCACGATTGTCAATAACCGCTGCTACACGCCGCGGAATTGAGTAAAAGAGGCTTTTGATGCATTGTGGGTGAATGGCAGCCCACGCTGCTTCCATGCGTAACCAGAGTTTATCTGATGTACCAGCATGTGATACATGCGGGGCTAGGCGTTCTCGGTCATTGACCAGACATGTTCGATTAGAGATAGATCTCCAGAGAAGGAAATCCAGGGTAAGTGTGCAATATGGCGGGCTGAAGAAAGCTTGAACATTGCGTGCGATGGGTGGTCATGGACTATCCTGTTGAAATGTGGCCGCAGGCAACCTCTGAAGCTGAGATAGAAGAACGTGCTAAAAATCTCAGAGATATAGCATTGGCTTGTAAGTGTACTGATAATGCATACTAGGGAGTGCGGGAGTGGAATTCTATACTGCTCTACACCATAACACCGTCTGACGGTGCAAGGCTGGTCTGACGATGCATATCCCAGCAGTCGACCAGTTTTTCTCCAAAGTCCTTCCAAATACTAATTCGATCATCGTGGTACTACACACAGAAGCGTTATTTGTGGGAAAACACGGTGTCATGACTTTTGTGTCATTTCCTGAGTTCAGTGCATCATTGCACCATTACAAAAGCAAACGCCTGAGGTTTAATGTCAAAGTAAGTGAAGCAATGGGCGCTTAGAGGACAGTCCTCTAAGCGCAGCGACTAGTATCGAATTGTTCGTGCAGACACTGATTGTTGTGCTACAGATTGCATTCGTTGTAGTATGGTTACGGATGTGGCAGGGCGTTCTAACAGTGCCATGGGCACCCTCCGCTTATCTTCCAGTAGAGTGGTGCGACGAGGCGGTTGCTATTGCTCCTGTCCGTCAGTCACTCCATCGTGTAGCCACCGATTCCATATTCTCATGACTATTGCTTGAATGCGTCTGACATGATGACCGATTTCCTGGAAGGATATTCCGCAATCTCTCGGAAGGATATTCTTCCTCTTCCGAACTTGGAAACGTGCGCCCATGACACTCGCGTTTTTCTACGAGGCATACTGAAGCTGTACACACAAAGCTCACGAGAAAACAATTCACGTTATTCAAAACGACTAACTTTCCCCCCTTTATATACGTATTGTGAGTAGTGCCGCAGTAGTCCATGATGTGCGCTTGCGTTGAAATCATAATCATTTGCATATTCCTTCGCGTATACACATGATGCATTTCCAGATGGGCAGCAGTTTAATATTCTGATTAAATAAGCTTAATTTTTTAAAAATTAGATCCGTTTAAACAACAACGCGTGCTGAGTGAAAAAATGAATAGAACATATATACGTACTGTAATTTCAGTTCCAAACCGCAATATTTTTTATTATGAAATATGCACAAATTTTTATTAATAATCATTCAACATTAAGGAATTTAACTGATATCAAAAGTCTCTGAAAATGGCTGGAATGTCTCTGTAAATCAGTTTCGATCAAATTATAACTGAAGTAAATAATAATTAGAGAAAAGAATTTGAAAATAAACAATGTGAATAATTTATCTTAAATGCTGTCAGTTCGGTAACATTGGCAATCAAAAAAGTTATTGAGAAGTTTAAATAACTTTTATACGCAATAAGTTATTTTAAATGTTTATTTATTTTTAGTTTTTCTTTCAAAAATAACTTAATGACTTTTCTGTAAATGTTCTCAGATTGGAACGCTAATCCTTAAGATAAACTTTTATTGTGATTCCCTGTATGCATATTTTTATTTTTTTGAAAATAAACATTGGAATTTATACTCATTTTTAAAAACTTGAGCAAAAGGTTTGTATATAATGTAATTTGTATTTCGTCCTCCTTCCCAAACAGAGAAAAAAATAGATATTGTTTTATCAGAAAATTCAATATAAATTTTTCGAACTTTACAACTGATGTCGTTATTTCCACTTTTTAATTCTAACTGTATAAACTATTTTTATCTTCTTAAACCTAGTAAGGTTTCTGCAAGAATAACAAAGATAATATTATTGTTACGCCATCCATTGCTCGACGAAAGAGCGCGCTCCTGCTATTCGTATAAAGCTAAAAATAATTTATTTCTACTTTTAAAATGAATGAAGTTTTCTGTGATTTTGTTTCAGAGATGTGGCAACACGCGATTATTTTTATAGTAATTGTGTTCGAAAGATATAAGTGTGTTATGTTTCCAGTTTGTACGTTGGAACAAGAGTAAAATATTTACAATATTTATTGTGTAGAGTTTTGATTTGCAGTCCATTCCACAAAGAGGTGAACATAATATTTTTGGTGTCAGGGAGTGGGATTAAGTGAAAATGTGGTAGTAATAATGTGTATCATCAAATTTTGCGGGAAAAAATAATGTGTTGATATGGGAATATGTGTTGCGGGGAAATTAACAGTGAAGATGATGGTTCCCTTGATTATGGTGGGTAGTTATTTGGTTTGTTGTAATAATGTTTAGTGTTAAGTTCTGTTTATTAGTGTTGTGTATTGAGGTGTTCCTTACTTGGTAATTTGAGTAGATAGTGTCTGTGTTGAGATTGATTGTGTACGTTTTTGTGCTCATTGTATTCTAGTTGTCAATTCAGGGTTGTTGTATTTTTCTTTGAATTAAGATGAGTCTGAAGTCGCTTAAGTCATTAAAAAAAGAGGAGTTGATGCTCGTGGCGGAGGAGTTGGGATTACTAATTCCGAGTGGGGCGAAAATTGTTACTTTGAAAACTTTAATAGAAAGTTCAGAAATTTATGCAAATGATGCTGAATTTGTGCAAAATGTTATTGATAATATTCTAGAGGAAAAGAAAATACGGTAAAAGAGCAGAATAGGCTGCATCAACAAAGTTCAGTAGGCATCAACAAAGTTTTTTATTTATATTTTCTAATAGCTAGTGCCCCAATAGCAAACTGCTTAACTTAAGAGTAAGAATTAATTTAGTATTTAAAAGTAATCATTTTCGATCAAACAAGCTCTGTTTTATGACGCAATATTTTGAACACCAAGGAAATATTATAAAACTCATCATTCGCAGAAGACTGGTTTATATATTGAAATAAAATACATTTATTTCAATAATCAAACCAGTCTTTATTTTATTTCGATCTTATTTAATTTAGGCAAGAGTTAATTTCATAAAACAATTTACCGAAGCAATAAATGAACAGAAATTTAGAAACTCAATTTTATTTTGATTGCTAAAGAACAGGAAGTAAAATGAATATTTAGCATTTTGCTTTCATCAAAGTGCATTAAAATTAAAAGAATACAATTTTTTAAAAGTGAATTATTTTTGCCTGTACAATTTTATCAAAGGCAAAGAAAAAAAAGTTCAAAATAATTACTTTATGCAAGAATATTTTAAATAATGCTTGTGCATGTGTAATTATGCAAGAAAATTCCTGCCTGCCAAAATTAGTGTTCTGAATTATTTTAGGGCGTTTATAAGATGAGAAAAAAATTCCTCATTTTCTGTGATAATAACCGGGAAAAAGTTCAAGATTTTTTTAGGTGCATTGTGTGCTCCTAGAGATAACGCATTTTATCGGCGTTTAGTGTTTTGAGGTTACATTTGACTATCATTAAGAAAATAATTCCAGCCTTAATATTACAATCTAGGTTGCCATAAATCATTTTATTAATCATGCAAAACCTTAAAATACTCTCTTTTTTCCCTTACTCTTCTCCAAACCTTTCATTTTCTTCTGAAAGGAAGTTATTAATGTTTCATGTTAATTTTTTTTCATGCCTTTTTTTTTTCAATGTTTGAATTAAAAGCAATCCCCTTTCCCACTCTAAATTTTTATGGAGCCTTGGGCTGTAAATTCAAGATGATCGCGAAGAATAGGTTTTTATAGTCTCTAAGGAGTTGTAAAGCGTGGCAAAGTTGTTTTCAATTGCTTTGTAGTCATTTGATGATATTAATAATAAGTTTATTTACTGTCGCATTTTACAGATATTGGATAATAAAACACATAGAAGGAAATGATTTTTTTTTTTCAGATTTTTACTCTGTCTCTTAACATTTTGATTGAAAGCAAAATCAAACTTCGCTTCCATGTAACAACTTGCACTTAAAGAATAAATTAAAACAAAAAACTTGCATGATGGATTAGCTTAATATTAAACCAAAAGTGTTTACTACTCAACAGTGAGTAAACCTTACACCTTCTGAGTTTTTATTTCTTAGGTAGCTTTTCTCTACGCAAAAGTTGGTGGGAGAAAAAAGGTGTGGTGAGATTCAATTAATAAAATCTAAAATATTAATACTCATATTAGAGAAATACAACTTTTAAATTTTCGAGGTCTAGTCAAATATTATTTTAACAAATTCCGCTTACAGCGAATGTCCGAATATGATGAACTAAAATTTTAGTTCCCTCTTTTTCTGACACCTATACTGTTATTATACTTGCTACGATGACTAATCAAATACATAAAAAGTGAATATAATGAATTATATTGATTTCTATGACTGAAATTTTATTTCATTTATTAACCCAAAGCGGGAATTCGCCCAGAAGGGCTGTTGGCATTTTACGTTGATTCACTCTAAACGGCGAATCACTTTTTACATTGTTGCCAACAAATATTAGATCCCTGAATTATATTTAAAGAAATTAAATAATGCAGAATCTGCATAAATATATATATATTTTTCTTGCATTACGATAAAATAACGGTACCTAGAGCCATCAAAATTTGAATAACGTAATCCTCCTCCGAATATGGGCATCTGGAAGCCCAAATTTGGAATTTGTTTTATTATCTATTTCATATTTTTCGTAAAGCATTTGAGTTTTTGATTGAGAAACTCAATGATTTCAAAGCGAGCAATGGCTACACTGTGCGGGGGGAAAACATTTTTAACTCCAGCGCGCGAAACTGTGCATCGGAAATTCTAAAGATATGCTGTTTAAAATATTTTGTGATATTGTTGTTGAATTGAATTTTATGGTGTACGTGCAAAGAATAGACATCCTTCTACGATATTTAATAAATAAAGGTAACACAAAAAACGTTAAAGAAAGTCCCTTTGGGCGTAATAATTTTAATTTTTAATTTTTTTAAAATTCAGACTTTTCAGATTTTTTAAATTTTTTAATTTTTATTTATTTATTTTATGAATTTTGTGTTTTCAAAATTTTTAAAGAATTTCTGAAAGTTTTAAGTATTAAATTATCAACCTTTAAAATCCTGTTTGTTTAAGGTGTTCATAAGAACAGCTACATATACCTTTACGCTACAGTAGTTGTCTCTTTGTTTTCGTTCCATATATTTTTTTTTCTTGAAAGTCCATCCAGTTAGAGGTGGTCTGAGAGCCAGTGAAATCGGTACGGCCGTATTGGGCTCACACATTTTTAGAATTAATGAAAGGACTGGACCATAAAATGAGGGAACACCAAAAAAATGCACTAGGCGGAAAGCGCCTATCGCTGCTCCTGATCCAGGCGTATTTAATTTTTTTAAGAATACGAAGCAGTGTAAACATATCTCGAGGAGCAGGAATGCATTATCGTTTTACAAAGAGCAGGAAAAATCTGCAATTTTTTCAATGAAACGAAGTTTCTTATTCTTTGCTAATTTTATGCTATCTTGATTATTAAATTTTATTGCAACAAAACCTCATTTCAATTTGCATTTCATTCCCATTATTAAAAAAGTACGGAATGCATGTAGTTAGGCTGATACCCGCAGAGAATATAACTCATCCTAATTTGAATTTGTACCATGGAGAATAGTTGAGATTTAGTAATTATTGCTCATGAAAAAAAATCTGAATATGAGCAAAAAGCAAACAACTCGGTAAGTAGGAACATAAGAATGTTCAGGATGAATAATCAGTTTGCCACTCCCAAAGCCGCTATATCCAGGTAAATGCTTGTGATAAAAGTCGATTAATTTGTCATCAATTTGGAAGGAAAGCATCTTTGTGCAGAATGGATGGATGGATAAAATTTAAAAGCGGAAAATATTTCTTCAGAAAAAAAAAATCATTGAAGAATCAAAGAGTATAAACATAATCTGAAACGGGAAAAACAAAATGTCTATTCGTAGAAGGATGTCTGTTCGTAGAAGGATGTCTATTCGTAGAAGGATGTCTATTCGTAGAAGGATCTCGTTATAACTAGAATAAAATCCACGTTTTTGTTGAGATGATAACACAAGATAACGACAACAAAAATTCTCAGATCAAATTTTTCTTTCTTGTACCAACACGAAAGAATCCGAATATCAGCTTCTGGCGAATATATATCTTAAAATCAAAGTTGATTAAACGTATAAAAAGTGTTTTTTTTTCGTATAAAGCGAAATGTAACAGGCGGAAGATAATAAAACCGTTTGAAATAGAGCTATGAAAGTAGAATCAGCCCTAATGATCTTTCAGCCATAATACGAAGGTATATTAATTCTCTTCTTGTTTGATATGGCAACTATACTTCGCGTGCAAATACTGAAAATTTGTGATGGATTAGGATTGTTTTATCTGCTACCAATTACATTTTCTGACTTGAAATCTAAGAAGTGATCAGGAGCTTAATATTTCATTACAAAATATAGTTTAATTTGCGAATTTTCGAGGAGTAAGACAAAAATTAGATTGAAATGTACCTTTAGTGTAATATTAAAAATTAAAAAAAAATCTTAGCTACTTACTACTGAATCCATCCGTCAAAACCCTTTTGAGTTTTCTTTATAAGCAAAATGGTTAACAGCGCTGAAAGAGAGATGTTGAAAAATGAGAATTTACCTACAACAACATCCAACATCAACAGAGAGAAAAAATGGCATTCAGCATTTTCAGAATTGGATATGGTGCTTATCCAAATACAATGGGACAAAGATATTATGAAAAACATTAAACTAAAAAAGACTAATATTGGGAACGATAACTTCTTCTGGTATACTGAAGAATATATGCAACACATGGACAATAAATTTTTGTCATTATAAATTTCAAAAGCATAAATGAGCGCCATTACATTGTTATTTACTTAAATCGAAAAACCAATACTATTGGAGTCATTTAAATTTTTGAACAAAAATCCTGATAAAATTTTCATGCAGTCGTCATCGCGACAGCACAAGATTACAGATTATATTTGTGCTCTCAGATCTGTAGTAAATTTTAAATATTATTTTACCATTACAATTATGCATTTATCTGAGCGAGTTCATGTTATTTTATGCATCAAATTATCATTCATCTTTATAATAAAGCGAAAAGACAACAAATTCTCCACAGTTTTCTTCTCTGTTTCTTAGTCTGCTGACACAAAATGCCATTAGCTTTCATGTTACAAATTATGCCTAAAGCTACATTTCAGACAACAATACAACTTATCACAATTTTTCCGTCGTAAAAAAAAGAAAAGACAGTACATATGCAATTTATTCGTTCTTACAAATCGACTCGAGCGCTAATGCTGAAGAAACATTTCTTCGTGAAAATGCATTATCTTCCGAGAATTAGCAGTCGAAGGACAGTATCTGTTGATTCCAAAGGTAAAGCACTAGTTATCTTGTCTGCTGTCAGTTTTCAACAAGCAACTATATATATCAAGGGAAGGATCTGAAACATGTCGTCTGTAAGTAACTTTTGTGCATTTCGGAACGAGGTTGTTTTGAAAGTTCGTCAACTGGTAACGCTAAACCGCTTTAATGGAAGAGATTCAGTGAGAGTCACTTCTTAAGATAGCCTGTATCGTGATTTGCTTAAGTACAGTTGCTGTTTGTTTACTTGTTGTAAATGTCAAACTGTATTGTACGTAATAATCATGAATGAGAAAGCTATGCCATTAGGTTCCATGCAAAATTGTTAATGGATTTTTAGGAATTTTTGATGACGTTATAAAAAACGGCCAACAAGCTCAAACTAGTATATGATGAAAATGGAAGGACAGATTTGCCAGTTTGTAGGATGTTCCGAGAATCGGTCGTCCCTTAACATTTGTGAAGTTCGAAAAATTCGCGAAACCAGTGTCAATGCAGTAAGAAGAAATTCGTGAATTGCAAGTTAGTGCAATGGTGGTGTAGCCAAAATACCCATAAAAACGTCCTGTGTTTATGCAAGATTGACACTACGTTTGCTGACGTTTACGGAATGAAGGACATAAACCATGGCTTTTAGTACCACTTTAACAAAGGACGAAAAGAAAACACGTGTTTCTTGAACAATATAATAATCACTTATAATTCCTGGATCATATATTCGGAATTAAAGCTGGAGTCCAACGTATGAAAACACAATGAATAACCGTCTTCCAACACAATTCCTGTTTTTGTATTTTCTCGAAGAAATTAATGTTGATTTTTATATCTGTCGTATTGCATAACCGGTTTCCAATGTAATATTATAGCTTAGAATATGTGAAAGAGCAGTTATAAACACAGGCAATCCTTCCAAACTGGCAATCTTCCAGGTCGCTAAACGTACGGTATGCTTGAGTAGAGCAAAAACAGCGATTTGTTAGTATAACGTTAACTTATCATAATTTGGCAAAATTAAAAATTGGAAAGTCCAAGTCAGAAACTTTTCTGTCAATCTCACAGAAAAAGGAAAATGCTATTTAAAGGGTCCCCCCCCCATATTATAAGGCGTTAGGTTTTACGCACTGTGATACCTAACTATGCATTGTTTTTTAACAACAAAGGTTTTTAGGTAAAAAAAAAGTACTGAAAATAATAGAAAAAGAATCTGAAAGCTTTTAGATTTTACATTACGCCCAAAGGGACGTTTTTAACGTTTTGTGTGCTGCCTTTATTTATTAAATAACATGTTCTTCGCATTATAAAATTCAATTCAGTTCAACAGAACCATAAAATTCAATTCAACAGCAATATCGCAAAATGATTTTAAAATGAGTTTATCTTTAGAATTTCCTATACACTGTCTCGCGCGCTGGAAATATTTTTTTTTTTTTTTTTTAATTTTACTTTTCCCCATACAGTATTGCCATTCCTCGCTTTGAAATCGTTGAGTTTGTTAATCAAAAATTCGTTAAAATGTTACAAAATATGAAACAGATAATAAAACAAATTTCAGATTCAAAATTCAGGCTACCAGATGCCCATATTCAGTGGAACATTACGTTATTCAGAATTTGATGGCTCTAGATACCATTGATTTATCACAATGCGGTTTTATTATCATACATACATTTACACAGATTCTTCATTATTTAATTTTTTTAAATATTACATAGGGTTCTAATATTGGTGGCAACAATTTGAAAAGTGAACCGACATTTATAGTGAACCAAAGCAAAATACCAAAACGAAATTAATAGCCCTTTGGGCTAATGAATAAAACAGAAATCAGAAAGCAAAGAGTTAAAAGAAAAATAAATCAGAAAATAAGGCTATGGATATTTTTCTTGCTTTTTGATACAAGCTAATTTTATTTGAAAGAAATTAAATTAAAATTCTAATTCTAAATTTTAAAATCTGTCAGTTATGGTAACCTAATTTCTCTCCATCTAGCTGGAATACAAACAGGAAAATTGAATTATAATCTACTAGTAATATTTGCAGAAATATATTCTGTTAAAAATTCATTCAAAACTAAAATATTTAAGTTTCGCTCCGCACATCGATAAATAACTCAGTAACGATAAAAGCAACTCTACGCTAAATTTAATAATCCTTCCATCAGCAAATGAAGGTATGCAATGCGTCATTATTAAAACCGGGTGAAATCCAGCGAAATGTAGGAAAAGCACAAATGCTGTAAATTAATCATAATCCTCTTAATTAATGCCAGAGTCTAGTTTGGGTGCAGTAATCGTGATTAATCGGTCGATTAATCTAGTAAATAGTGATTTTCTAATTTTTTTCTTATTTCAACAAATATATGCTGATGTATCTTTGCCTGGGAACCGTGACAGATAACGCTTAAACTTAATTTTCGAATCGTGATCTGCATAGCAAAGCATGGTCAATATTTGCATTGCATCGCGCAATTATTTAGAATATTGTTGTGGTAAACGTGCAGCTGTTGCTGGAATTTTAAACTGGGATCATTCATTTTTGACAACATTTATGCCTTAGTTGAAAACCTGAAAAAGAAAAGAAGATTATTTTCCTGCTCTTTCCAGATGAAATGTCTTCCCAATGAAGGCAATTTTGTAATTTTCTCTAATTGTTATATTAAAGCAAAACTTCGCGCATAATTACTTAAAATTAAATGCGAATAATTATACGCCTGATAATAAGTAAACTAAATTTGATTCTTTGTATTTTATTCAAGCACTAATTTTCTAATAATTAAATTAATAACCGGTGTATTTTTCATGAGATTTTTTTTTTTACTTTCCTGAATTTATCGTGATAGATAGAAGCGTTATTTTCTGGAAAAAAAGTAAAAATAAAAAAACCATTGTTGGGAATTGCTTAAGGAAGTTTTATTTACGTTATTTTAAATAATTCTTTCACTTCTAAACTAATTTTATGGTCTTTATTTTTTTAACTATTTTTCATTATTAATTGGGTTTTGCTTCATTTCTTTTTTAAAATCTTTTGTGCTTATTCATATATGCCAATAATAGCTGCCTTTACGCGTGTTTAATAATGTAATTCATAGATAAAAAAAGCACATTTTTTTAAATCTTTATTATTGTAATTATTCTGTTGTTAATTTGTGCTGATGGAGTTCCTAATCTATATATGTCTGTAGTTATAAACGGCATTAAAATGAAGTACTTTCGCTCATAATTTGCATTGGTTAATAATGTAATAATCATAATAATAATTATTATTTAAATGGTTTTCATACAGACGTAATATGTAAATACTACAATGATTAATACTTTAATAGTATTGAATAATGATAACTAATTATGGAGCATTATAATAGCAATATTATGATCATAATATTAATACTATTATTGTTAAAAATGTTATTGTGGATACTGTTAATGGTTTGCTTTCACGTTTAACAGCGTTATTATTACATTATTAATGATTAAATATCCCGATTACTGAATTCCAGGCAGTTATAAAAATCGAGAATCATTAATGACAGTTGTTCTTAATTTCTTATCTCAAACCACCAGTGGTTAAGCTGATGAGACCGCTAAACGTTGGGGATTTGATTCGAGTTCAAATCTCAGCAAACGCACTAGATTCATATGCTCTTCTTGGCTTCTCCAGTTATAAAACTATAAATAAGTTCCAGCTTCCCGTAGGTAGACCTTAAATTAGCCAAGTAATCGTAGTGTACTTTGCCATAATCTAATAAATGAAGTCTTAAATTCTGTCCTGGTTTTCCATCAAAATGTGGCAGCTATTAAAGAAGACTCAGATTTTCAATCACATTTAATTTTAAGGCAAAGTATTTGATTTAAAAATTCTTAATAAGTTTATTTCATTATTTACATACATTATGTTTTTTAAAATAAATTATTTATTAATGTTAACAGGTCTTATTTAAATGTATAATACTGAAACATCTAGAACTCTGAAATGGCGGAAATTTATCTGTTACGTTTCCTCCTTAAGAGAATATGTTTGCTATTTATATTATTGCAACTTGTAACAGAGTTGCAGTCTACCTTTAACGAACAACGTGGTCTCTGAAATACAATGGACACATTAAGTAAATGAAATTCGAATGAAGTGAGTGATATGATAGTGATGTCTAAGATAATGACAATTTGATACCGAGGATTTTAATGACTATGGTCTTCAATTTTCCTCTCTGTAATCTTTTCCCAGTCC